GACGTCCATGTCATTGTGTCTAGCGCCTAGGAGGCAGAGGGAGAGAAGAAGGCCGCCGAGGGGAAGCCCTCAACCCGCAAGAAGCGTAAGTCCAAGAAGAAGCCAGAAGGCGAGACTCACGTCGTCGGGGAGCGACGGTCCAAGATGAGGCATGGCGTCGGTCTAACCGTTGGCGAAAGAAATGCTCTGGTGCACCAATATGAGAGCTCGTCGTACTTGCCAATTGACGAGGAAAGGGTCCTTAATCTTATCCTACCTTCCGAGGTCTCGGAGGAGTGGTTAACCCAGTTCCATTCTGTCGCGTACCCCAAACTTTTCAACAAATATCACCAGCCCTCTCATGTGATCGACGCGGCCAAGACTCCTCTGATGGCGTGGGACCCCGTCTCAGAGGCGAGGCTGTCGTCGATGTCTGATGCCTACAAGTTTAGTTATACGAAGGCTTGTTTGGGAAGGGCGTTGGTGAGTTTGACGGCAGTGGAGGATGTGTTCTGCTCGAACTCCACCGAGCTTGAAGAGAAAAAAAGATAAAATGGTGTATCGCGACGTCAAGATTTTATCCCAACAGCCTTGAAGCCGTGGTGACGGAGAAGTCGGACCAGCTAACTGTGGCACAGACCGAGATCGAGGCACTGCTGGCCGACAAGAAGCGCTTGGAAGACGAGGTCTACAAGTTATCAAACCAAGTCGTTGAGTCCGAGAACAAAGTCACAGAGACCGATAATAGATTTTTGGAGGAACGCGAGGACCATCAGAGGACATGCCGGGACCGAGCTAAGAAAGAAGCCGAGTTGATCTATTTGAAGGATTTGCATGCCTCCGAGTTAGTGAGGCTTGAGAAAGAAAAGACCAACTACGGGACGCTCATGCTCAACCGAGGTATCGAAGCTGGTAAAGAACTCGGGAGAGAGGAGTTCAAAAATTCTAAGGAGATAGAACGCGGCATTGAACTGAACACCTGCCTGAATCTCTGCTGAGCCATCGACCGTCGTGAAACCGGCCTCTATAGCATGGGCGACCTCAAGATCATATTGCTCAGGAAGAT